GGCAGGCCCAAGTTTCCCCCCCCCCCCCCATATCCTGCATTCTCTTGCCTTAAAAACAGGTCAAAACCTTGCAAGTGTCAGCTGAAATGCAAAGCAAATGGATGCTAAGACCATTTATTCACAAGCCACTCCTTTCAGACTTAGAGAACCAAGCTACCTATTGTTCCATCCTGGCAGAGCCCAATAAGTGATTGTCTCAGAAAATATGGCCTAGAGAGTAAGGGAAAAGGCACAAGATGAAATCCCCATAGTGGTGGTACTACAGGCTGCTGTCCCAAGTTCCCTGGGCTGGATCCAAAAGCACTGTTTTTCCCTCATTTTAAGTAACTTAAGCCACGTACAGACATTCAGTTTCTACCAGAACCAAAGTGTGTGCAGATATTTGAGCTTTTTCTCCCAATACACAAAGCCTCTCTGGGAGAAAAAAACCCCAATTACAATGACGTAGAAATTGCTCCTGGGAGTTTCCTGAACAGCTGCACACTTTCCCTCAGTTCAGCTTCTAGAGACCAGAAGCAGTACAGCCAGGGGAAAGGTTCTGGGTCTCTGAAGGCATAGGGTCACCTTTGTCAGAAGGTACAGGGGAGAGCTGCTCCCACCTCCTTCTAACTCTAATTACAATGCTCGGTTGCTGGGCACCATGAGCTGAGCAGCTCCATGCCTGCTTCAGACACCAGAGTCCCCAGTGTGAGAAGCAAGCATTGGGTTTTGGTCAGCTGCTCCAGTCCCGTGGCAATAGGAAGACTGGAGCAGCCCATGTTTTTCCGATTCTAGCAGTGGAAAGTTTCTGCTATTAGAACTGAACAGTTGCACATGGCCTTAAAATACGCATGAAGTTAGTGCTAGTGGTTCAAAGACAGGCAAAAAAGAGCAAGAGAAATGCACTGTTTTAGCCACAGTGTCCATCAGGGTAACTGCTGCCACAAACAGCCCATCATTACCCAAGTCAGTGAGGACCACCCTTTCTGGCAGGTGTCACAAATTAACCCTGCACCCTCCTTAAGTGCCACTCTGCTTCCCTTCCTTTGCCTAATCCTCTGCTTTTCTTTCTGCTCCCTGACCCATCTCTGCTTTCTGCCTCATCTGTTGCTGTGCTGCTTGTCCCCTCCCTCATCTGCCACATGCCACTTGCAGCACTGATACCACAGTTTGGCCACCCCTGGTATAAGTGATCCTTCTTAATTTGTATGAATATTTTCAACCCCATGCCTGGCATGCAGAACCAGCCACACTGATGATAGGTCAAAGAAAGCACTGCAGCAAGATGACAAACTAGAATTTGGATATAAGCAAGGAATGAACAAGTCAGTTTCTGGCTGAGGTTCCACTCCACATCCTCCTACAAACCAGGCTGCAATACTGCAGAATAAATCCATGCCATGAGGTACTCCAACATTTAGATCCTCTTATGCCTCAGATTAATCTAGCACAATGGGTGGCTGATGAGTTATAAAAGAAACATTCTGCAGAAACCAAATCAATACAGAAATGCCCTTTTAAAATAAGAATCATTTAAATTGCTACTTACCTTCAATACCCAGTCGAATCTTCTTGAGACCCCTTTCCTTCAGAACAGATTTGGCCACATCTCTGTTTTCAATGTACTTGAAGAACCTGTATAACTTTGTGCTGTAAATTACTTAAAAACAAAAAAAAATCCACATTTCAGTGATAAAATTGTATTGTAAATTTGTAACCTGGGCTTATCTTCTTAAGGTTAAAGCAAAAGCTAAAACTGAGCCCCAAGCCACTAAGTTCCCAGTATAGTTAGCAGGAAAGCAAACCCAAGACTGAAGCATGAGTTCTTTTTCATCCTTTGGCCTCTTCAGTGTCACTTATTTGAGAAAGACTCATTAAAAGGTCTCAGAGTACATTTTGTAGAAGACTGAAATCTGAGGATAAAAGTAGTGTTTCTGCAAACACAGTTAAATCTGGTGGGCTGGACATTTTTTCCTATTGGTGTCACTTATGCTTTTGAAAGAAATAAGAATGGGAATATGACAAGACTGCAGAGCAAACAGGAAAGCCCCAAAAACAAAGCTCCAAGTGTGCCTCTGAATATTCTAGGCACTGCTGTCTGCCCATATTAAAAATTCTTACCAACCAGCTGGCAAACAGATTAGAGATAGCAAGTTTTGAAAGGAGGCTAAATACAGATTTGCTGCCCCTGACCTCTTCCCTTTTCAGATGGTATGCATTACATCTAGGAGATTGACATAAAAAGCTAAAGCAGCCATGTAAAATTCCCATGTTAAGTGTGCTGTAAGGCAAAGTTGTAGACAGTTTTTACCCCTTTAAGATTCCTGAAAAGCAAGCCTCAGCCTTCCTGTGTTACCCTGCCAAAGTGGCAATACCGACATCCAAGCTATTTTTTACTCCCCTTCTTCCCCCCTTGAATATTTTGGGAGGCTGGAGTTTATTACTACAATTCACCATGACAGTTTTGGTAAGCTTTAAAAACAAACAAACAACCCCCCCCAATCTAAAATGTCAGAGCTTGCCAGAGTGAAACAGGAACCCTTTATAAGATGCCTTTTATTTTATTGGAGCACAAAATTAATTCATAGCCACATATTTGAACATAAAATGCCTAAAGCTATCATGCAGGTGATTCAAGCACCTACAATGAACACCTTCAAGAGTAAATCGGATGCTTATCTTGCTGGGATCCTATGACCCCAGCTGATTTCCTGCCCTTCGGGTGGGGGGCTGGACTTGATGATCTTCTGAGGTCCCTTCCAACCCTAATGTCTATGAAATCTATGAGCAGAAGGGCACTTCATTAACAATGGCCAATTTATCTAAGCACCAAACTGTTAAAAAGAAGCCAAACAAAAACCTACAATGAAGACAACACCAGGCACATGATCTATTTGTTTTCTAATTTACATATGTGTTTTACACAAAATGGTCAATAACAACTGTTTGCCAATTGATTCAGACTCACTATTTTAAGGTACACATCCCTTACTTTCTGGTGCCCTTTTGGTAAACACTTTGCTTTGAATGGATTGGATCTTAACACTATTATATTTGTTTAACGTTAACCCCAAATTACATGTCCACTACCAGAATTAGATATGTTGTAAAGCTCTGGTAATAGTGCTTGTGCTTAATACTGATGCAGCATTAAAGCACATGTGACAGTACTTTGGTAGAGGCCCTTATAGTTAAATTCAGTGCTAAGCATAAAGCCAGACTTACTTTGAGAATATTCTTCTCCCATCTGTGGAGGATACTCTTCATCCCAGTCTACCACATCATCATCTGTAAGCACCACAATGTGACACTCTCTCTCACCACTCTGGGCACTGGCTACCATTAGCGGGAGAATCATTTCTTCCAAGTAAA